AGTCTTCCGCCAGGTGCTACTGACTTCCCTGTGGCAGGTACTACTCCTCAGTTACTGTTTCCACCGGCGGACCAGTCACACCCGCCGCTACTACCGCACTCCCCACTGCCTGCTCCTGCTCCTTACACTCCGGTAACACAGTCCCTGACTAAGCGTCGAGAGCCTGAGACTCGTGCTTCCACCCCTGAGCGTCGAGATCCTGAGTCTAGCTTTGACCTTGAGCCTGAGCCTAGAGCTGCTGTCCGTGCTCGTGCTCCGGCTGTCCCCGGCACTCACAATATGACACTCCGTCCTTCCTCTGTTCCACAGCGTATTGTCCTACTGTTACCTCGTGCGTCCCCTCTTCCTGACGTTGCTGACCCTCCGTCTGACCTTGCTCGTGCGTCCAGTCCGACTGTTACTCGCTTCCTTGCTACGGTTGCGACAGACCCTACGTTCTCGTCTCCTGCTGCGTCTGCCTTAGTCGCTGAGCTCGTTGACTTTGCTGCTGTGTACCGCCTAGACTACCTTGCGAGTCTTGTCTCTGACCCTGTCCCTACCTGTCCTCCGTCCGTCGGGGGTGAGACTGCCCTTGGCTGTACTGCCCTTGGCTGTGACGTTCTTGAGGACAGACAGGAGGAGCTGGAGTGCCTTGCGGCCGCTTCACCCCATCACGCGACCATGCTGCTTGCCCCTGAGGGAGACCCGGATGCACTTGACATCCCCACCCCGCGCTCCTACAGGGAGGCAATTTCGGGTGAGTACTCCTCTCAGTGGCAGACAGCCATGGACGCAGAGATGGCTTCCTGGAAGTCCACAGGCACCTACGTCGACGAGGTTCCCCCACCTTGGGCAAACATCGTCAGTGGCATGTGGATTTTCAGGGTGAAGCAGCCGCCGAGTTCTCCGCCTTCCTTCAAGGCACGTTACGTTGCTCGAGGCTTCAGTCAGCGTGAGGGGGTCGACTTCTTTCAGACCTTCTCCCCCACCCCGAAGATGACCACTCTTCGAATGTTGCTACACGTTGCAGCTCAGCGTGACTACGAGCTGCACTCCCTCGACTTCTCGACAGCTTTCTTGCAGGGTAGCCTTCACGAGGCCATCTGGTTGCGCCGTCCACAGGGCTTCACTGGGTCGTTTCCTGAGGGTACCCAGTGGAGCCTACGGCGAACAGTGTACGGCCTGCGTCAGGCACCCCGCGAGTGGCACGACACACTGAGGACGACACTTGCGGCTCTTGGGTTTGCTCCTTCGACTGCTGACCCGTCGCTGTTTCTACGCACCGACACTACACCTGCACTGACATGGGTGAGCTGCGGAGCTATCTTGGCTTGCAGATCACCCGGGACAGAGCACGGCGCACCATCACCCTGACTTTGTCACACATGGTGCAGCAGGTCCTTCAGCGCTTCCGCTTCACGTGGTCCTCGCCACAGCCCACTCCTCTGTCTACCGGCCACTCGCTCTCAGCTCCACCTTCGGACGAGTCCGTAGAGCCGAGTGGTCCGTACCCAGAGCTTGTGGGTTGCCTCATGTACCTGATGACGTGCACACGACCTGACCTCGCGTACCCTCTCAGCCTCCTAGCTTGCTGCGTGGCACCCGGTAGACACCGAAATGTGCACTTTGATGCTGCGAAGAGGGTACTGCGTTACTTGTGCAGCACATCGGGCATGGGGCTCGTGCTTGGAGGACGGGGTTCGGTGGTCCTCACAGGACACTCTGACGCTTCTTGGGCCGACGACCAGACGACTCAGCGTTCGTCACAGTGTTACACCTTCAGTCTTGGCTCTGGTTCTGTCTCATGGAGGTCCACTCGTTCTTCTTCTGTGCTTGGTTCCAGCTGTGAGGCCGAGATCTACGATGGGGCCATGGCTGCACAGGAGCTACGCTGGCTGACCTACCTGCTGACCGACTTGGGGGAGCGGCCTCGTTCTCCTCCAATTCTGTACGTCGACAACAAGGCAATGCTTGCCTTGTGTCGCGAGCAGAGACTGGAGCACCGAACGAAGCACATTGCTCTTCGCTACTTCCTTGCGCGTGAGCTGCAGCAGCGTGGTCAGCTGCGCCTTGCTTTCGTGGCCTCTCGGGCCAACACTGCTGATGTTTTCACGAAGGCCCTTGGGTCTGGTGATCATCACCGTTTCTGCACTGCTCTTGGGCTTGTGCCCACTCTGCCTCACCTGCTGGTTGCTTAACATGATCTTGTTGTACACTGACATATATCTTTATACCTGCTTGTTTGCTATTGCTAGGTTGTGATCAGTGTACTGCCTTGCTATTATAACTCTGCATGTGAACTGGCCTTGTGGCCGCTTGCTTGTGCTCAGATTGTGTGGTGTCCTTTAGATCCACCCTGAGCTTTGCTTTGCTTTGCTTGTTCTCTTGCTTGACTGATCTTGTGACCGTCTGTTGTGTTTGCTATCTCCCACTTAGCCTATGGGGGTGTGTCAAACTATATGTTTGTGTTCTCTCTAGGCTATAGTGAGTTAGCCTACAAGGGGTACAACACTTTAGGGTTAGGTACTTGTACTCATGCATGCTACCTAGTCCATCATTTCCTGCCTGCTTATTCTAACATCCAGATGGTCAACAGTCGCGACAGTTGACTCTTGCGACTGTTGACCTTCCTGCCCTTGTTACGGGCTGATCCGATACTGCTGTTGTTGCTGCTTCGATAGGGACTGGTGCGATACTGCTGCACCTACGGGAATGCTAAGTGTAATTCCCTTCATACTTCAACAATAATGAGGTAAAATGCAATGACAAGCTTTCCGATTACCTCCCCCCACCCTCCCCCACCCTTCCTCGACGTGGGCGTTGAGATATAACAGGTTAACCTATATGTCCAATTTCAAAGCCTTTGAGTCTCGCAAATCGCAATGCCAAATTTATAAGGTTATTTTAAGGAGATATTGGAGAGGCCTTATTCTTCTACAGATTAAGAAGGCATGCACGTATCGAAGTCAGCTGTTCTTCTGCCCGTTACTCCCCACCAACTAATTCCTCTGTCATGCAGTGGCGGACAAAGTAGCTCACAGAGTCGTGGACAGTTGAATTTCCTCAATATTTACCCAAAGCGCTGGGAGTTGGAGGAATCACGTTTGTCGAAATGACGGCTTGCAGTTCCAGCCAGGACCGTATCACTCCCTGCATTTCGATGGAGCTTTCCATCTACATGTTCGTTCCATGTTTCTGAACTACATGATTTGAGAGTTTTGGGTATCCAGAAAGAACAATCATTTTGGACGTCGAACAGGTTTTGTCAGAGAACATGTCAAATGGTTCCCCAAGACGACACATGCTGAACAGTGTCGCTCGAGGGCATTCTGGGAGTGGATCTGCACCAGCTACCTGCGCAGCGGCATGATTTTCGTAACACTTCAGCCCACCAGCAGCAATTCCAGGTGTGTGTCCCCCTTGGAAAACCTGCTCAATTTCCCTTTTGCTATGGTGAATGCAGCAATTAAACCAAGCTATACCAGTCTCGAATGGTTTTTAAGAGTTATGAAAAGCACCGCACCACGCCGTGACGTCCCATCTGGTCACACTGCCTGACATGGGGTAGATGAGGGTGGAAAGGAAAGTCTGCGGTGATGTTTTTCTCAAGACACCCGTGCGGCAGTGCCAGAGAAAGCAGGCAAGGTAGCTACACCAATTTTAAATAAAACGTCTGGGATATTGAATGGGAAAGGGGTCCAAAACTGATCTACGACTTAACAATTTCTGAAGCCAAGGCGAGGACAGCGAGGTGTTCGTTCTGACCGTCTTGGTAACTTCAAATGTTCGCTCGAGTCGCACGTTGACGGGCTGTGACATGATGACATCTCGTAGTCCTGTAATGTATGAGTCGCTTGTAGTAGACGTGAGCCAACGGTGCTCGTAATGTTGAGAAACAACTTGAGAATTATATTGTAATGCACATCCCGTGTAGGAGCCAACCAACCCTACCTACCAGCCAGCCAGCACAACTCCCACAACCCAGCAGCAGGACGAAACAATGTTCGCACAGGATAAGGCTTGATAGCCGCACAGAGTGGTTCAGAATCACGTCGCATCCTGCATTACGAAGGCTAACTTCCGTGGAGTGACTTAGTCCGTGACGTGGCAAGCCGCTGCTTTCATCCTTAAGACAGGATCGTTCGCGCTGAGCGGCCGTTCATCCCTAGGGACAACAACAAGTCAGCCGGAGGACGTCGTCGCCACATCGCCTTACGTTCTCAGCCTAGTTTCCGTTCGCTAACCCTGCCCCTAATTTCTGAAATTGATATAATTCCCGCCACTCGAGGGTCATTCGCTATCACCACTGACTGCTCCAAATTCGTACATTGTGAACTCCGAAGACTCTACTAAGCGGCATACTGATTGCCTAATATGGAGCTACTACGGCGCACCGTTCGCCCTTCGTTGTTACATATAGCAGTACTGGTAGCATGCTTTGCGGGTCTGGCGGCAGCAGTATCGGATCTCCCGGAAGTGGATCCCACGCCGCCGAAGCCGCTGCCGACGCGGTTCGAGCAGGCCATGGCGGAAACCGCTGCGTTGAGCCCCGACGCCAGGGCCAGGCTGCACGCCGCGCGGCTGAGCGAACAGATGCTGCTCGTTCACGACGAGGAGGACGACGTTAGCGACGACGAAGCCGGCGAAGAAAGTGGTAACGAGAACGGCGAAGGTCACCGTCGCAAGCTGGGGGCTGCCGCGAAGAAGCTGGGGTTGAAACCTCCGCTTTTGAACTCAGGACCGAGTATGGCGGATGTGAATAACACCTTCTTCCGGTGGGACTCGGTAACGCCGAACGCGTATGTGGATTGGCGCCAGACCATGTACATCTCGCCTATACAGCGACAATACCAGGTTCGTGCGTCTGCTTATATCGAGTCTAAGCGACTCGTTTACCGCGACATTGTCTCAGTTTTGCCATTGATTATTCCGCTCAATTACAACTCTAGCTCGTGTGCTTGTCGGCTCCTCTCTGCCTCTCTCCATCCCTCTCCCCCCTCTTCCTATGCTCGTCTCTCCCAATGCCGACTCGAGACTCGTCCATTTCCCCCTCTCCCGCCACGCCGTCTCACTCTGCTCTCACCTCTTCCCCCCATTGTATTGATGGCTCTGGCGCGCAGTGCGGGAGCTGCTGGACGATCGTGGCCGTCGATTCCGTGTCGATGATGTGGGCGATCATCAACAACACGACGCCGCAGCTGCTGTCGCCGCAGCAGGTGTGCGACTGCGCGACAAAACAATGCTGCAAGGGCGGCTGGCCCGACTGGGCCTTCTCCTACATCCTCTTTAATGGCGGCATCGCAACTCTCGACGAGTACCCCTATCTCGCGGAAGACAGCGTTGTCTGTAACGCGAACGCGTCGACGCCGCTCGCGGCGAAAATCACGGGGTGGGAGCTGGTTCCGCCGTACAACGCCATGGCGCTCATGAAGGCCGTCAGTATGCAACCGACCGTCGCGTTTCTGTCCGGCAACGCTAACGATTTCCAGTACTACTCGTCGCGCGGGAGCGTGAAGATTTACGACGGCACGTGCACGACGGATATTAACCACGCGGTGTTGGTGGTCGGGTATAACTACACCGGGCCGGGTCTGGAGGGCAGCTATTGGATATTGAAGAACTCGTGGTTCAACACGTGGGGCGACGGGGGCTACATGTACCTCGCCATGACGCCCGACGTGCGCGGGAAATGCGGGCTCCACGCGTAAGTCGCGGTCGATGCGGAAAATGCGGGCTTGCGCATTCTTTCTCTTTCGTCCCCGCTCTCCCTCTTCCCCCATTCTCCCTTCCCCCACCATCCCTCCCGTCCATCCCTTCCCCTACATTCCCGCCATGTGTATTGTTGACTTCTCGCCTCTACGAACGCGTGGTTTGACGCGCCTCACAACATTGCTCCCCTCTTCCCTCTCCCCTTACCCGCTCCCGTCTCCCCCTCCCCCCTCCCCTGTCTCCTCCACCCCCTGGCCCCCCCACCAACCCCCCCAGCATTCCCGCCATGTACCCCGTCTACTACGCGGGTCCCGAGCCCGTCAAGATCGCCAACGGCCCGTTCCGCCGCCAGGACGACGGCTACGACGGCAAGTGGTGGTCGCGCGCTTACAACGGCCCCGTCGACGCGTGCGCGAATCTCATCAACCCCTGCGGCGGCGGCCGCTGCTACACGCTGCGCGGGATCGCGCGCTGCGACTGCCGGTACCTGGCGAACATGGTGGAGGTGCTGTCCACGCCCACGGCCAAGTGCGTGCCGCGCTACCCGTGCACCAGCCGCGAGCTCTTCAACCCGTGCGGGAGCGGCGTGTGCCGGAATCCCGGCGACGGGACGTACACGTGCCAGTGCCCTGCGGTGAGTGGCAATTTCGAATGACTCATCCTATAGCGTGACTCTTTCAGAAACGGTCCTTGACGTTAATGATGTGTCCTTAGTCAGCGATCACGTGCGTGGGCATGACAGCGGCTGTGGGGCAGATGTGCACCACACCGCGCCCGGCAACTCAACAATTCCATTCTCTCTCCGCCACCTGCACCCTCCCCTGCTCTCGTTCACAGGGCTACGCCATTGGCACGGCATCGGACGGAACCATCACGTGCGTGGGCGTGGGCACGACGGCGGCTGTGGGGCAGACGTACACCACGTCGCCCGGCGACTCGTGCACGGTCGTCGCGAGCACGTTCAAGATGTCCGTCATCGTGCTCGCTAACCTCAACCCCTTCCTCGACTGCTCGCTCGCTTACATCGCCCCTGGTGCGTGCGTGTAACTCCTCAGCCGAATAAAAAGTCAACCCGTTTCTCGATTGCTCGTTCGCATTCATCGCTCCTGGTACATGACGCTGCTGCGGAGGTGACCTACCTGCTCCGCTTGCGTTCCTGTCACTCGCTCCCTGCCTTGTGCACATCGTATATGCGTCAGTCAAACCCTCCTCTCCCCCCTTCTCGTGCCACTCCCCTCTCTTCCCCGCCAGGCATGGTTCTGCTCGTATCTAACACGACCGCCAGCACGAGCACCTTCGTGTGCACATCCACATACACGGTGCAGACCGGGGACACGTGTCAGACGCTCGCCAACACATACTTCAACGGCGATGTGCTCGCGCTGGCCGCCGCGAACCCGCTCATCTGCTCGCCTGGCCGCGCGTCGCTGCTGCCCATGCAGCAGATCTGCATCGGCACCACCTCGCCCACCTCCCAGGTATTTCCGCCACTCCCCCCTTCCCCCAGGTATTCCCAAATCACCTCGCAGCGCTGTTCCAGCCTCGTCCACTTCACCGCTGGTGAATCTCCACAATGGTATCTGATTGGTGGCTTTGGTTGTCATCCCGAAATTACGAACAGATTTTCTTATCATCAATGCGCCCTTCCCTTTCCCGCTCGGGGAGTGGGTGTATCAGTTCCTCGTTCAGCCAGCGAAGGGTGTAACAATCAGGTAGAGAAATCACACCACCCGACCAGCCAGTGTTAGATCTTGGGTGCTCTCCCCCTCCCTACTTCCATTCTTTACGCTTCACTGTGCCTCTGTTTCCCACTTAGCCAAGGTCAGCGTCGGTAAATCTCCAAACACGCATCTGGTTGGTCGCTTATATAATCCCCCTCTCCTTCCAATCTCGAATACCCTTCAGATCTCCGTGCCGCAGTGCGGCCAGACGTACACGTCAGTGGTTGGGGACACGTGCGACGCGATCGCCACCAAGTACAACATTGCGCTCAGCACTTTCATGAGGTACACTGTTCTGGGTGCGCGTCTAGAGAATCTTATTGTTTTTCTATCTAAAAAATATGTATATGTGTACACGTATTAACCACCCTTTTTTTTTTTTTTTTTTTGCAACAGACAAGCCAGCTCGTGATGGTGTCGTGTAGCACGTCTGTCTGAATGTTTTGTTTTTAGCCCATTTGACTTTCACAAATCGTCGCCTCGCCTCACCCATCCCTACCTCACGTTCGTTTTCTCATCTTTACTCTCTTCCTTGCCCTCCCATTCAGCCTCAACCCGGCGCTGTCCTGCGACTCTGCCCTCAAGATCGGACTCTACCTCTGTGTTGCACCCAAGACCTCTCTGGTAAACACTCTCTTCACAGTGTTTTTACGAAATTCAGGGTAAAAAAACTGCAATGCCGCTCTCTGATAAGCCGTCTTTTCACACCCCACATTCTCTTACCCATCCGCACCCTTTGATCTGATCCTCCATCCCTGATTTCTTACCCCTTGCCCCTTCACCTCTTTTCCTCTTTCTCTCCCTCCCTCTCTCAGACCACGGTCAACTGCACGGCAACGTACACGGTGCTGCAGGGCGACAACTGCCCCAACATCTGGAACGCTGCCAACCTCACAGAACCCCTTTTCCTCGCCATCAACCCCGGCATCAGGGTGAGGGTTACTGCATGTTTCTCCCGTAACAATAGGAGCGTGCTCTTGTCTGTCCTCTAACTCTTAACTTCCTTCCATCAACCTTCTTTGGCCAATATCATCCCACCTAATCTACTGCTCAATCCCTTTCTCTCTTTTGTTCTCTCCCCCTCCCACCAATGCCAAGCCCCATACCTGCAAGTCGACCAGAATGTGTGCATCAAGCCACCTAATCTGTTGCTCTGCCTTTCTCTCTTTTGTTCTTCCCCCTCCCTCATCCCCCTCCCTCAGTGCCAAGCCCCGTACCTGCAAGTCGGACAGAAGGTCTGCATCAAGTCGCCTCTGCTGGCGACCCTCATGGTTCAGACTAACACCAGCTTCTCGATCTACACCGTCGAAGAAGGCGACACCCTCGCTCTCATCTCCTCCAAATTCGTCACCCGCTGCACCACCGTATCCATCTCACCCGTCAACATCGCCGCCCAAAACAACATCCTCGAGACCTCGCCTCTCTTTGTCAACCAGACGCTGATCATTCCCTGCGACTCCCGCGTCGGGATTCTCGACTGCGGGTGCGCCGAGTCCCTCCCGGTGTGCGGCGCGGATTTCGTCACGTACCCGTCATACTGCGACGCGGTTTGCAACTACGCCATGCCGGTGGTGCAAGACGGGGTGTGTACGGGGTGCAACGCCGCATGCACGAATCGCGCCGGGGTTGCGCCGCTCGCCGGATATGGATGCACCTGGACAACGTGCCCGTACCCAGCCTGGAAGCCGCTTGACGCTGATTGCTCTCAGATGGTTGGTGAGGAGGTCGGCAAGTGCTGCGCGTTTGTCACGACGACATGTGAGAACGTCTGCACTGCGACGAAGCTCACGCTGGGAGGGACGACGGCCACGCAGACCAACAACTACAATCTCTGTTACAACAACTGCTTTTGCTGCGCGCGGTTACCATGTGGCAGCGGGGTCGCCTGCCAGACCTCAAGCAGCTGTTGGTCTCAGAGCCCCAGGAGATGTACTTATTCCAGCTACAAGTACTGGTGGAACTGCACCTATTTCGGGGGTGAGAGTCCGCTACCGTAGGGCACTGGTGCAGGTGTGGTCCCGCTGGCAGTAGCACTATTTAACACTTCCCCTGGCCCCTTGTTGATTGTGCTCTCTGGACATGTCCTCCTAGCTCACTGGTGGGGCGTTCCCTGATTGGAGCATTTAGATCTGCTTTGCCTGATAGTGGTTTGCTGACTATACCTACATGGTTATTTGTTATTTTGTTCTTGTAACATACATGGCACATGATACGGTGTATTTGCTGCAGCAATATTTACTTTCCCCCATTTAGTAGTGAATGTTGGGCTGAGAAAAAGCCCTTAGGATCTTTACAGGGGTGAACTCTGGGTAGGACTTGTTGTAATTAGCGGAAGCTTTAATGAGAAGTGCTTGAACCACCTTGCGCTAGTATGTGAGGGCAAAGTAGATTGATTAAGACAAAGAGATACAAGATTATATAAGAGTACAAGGAATATGAAGGGATACGGTTATAACTGTTTTACTGTTGCTGTTGCGGTTCGATACAGTGGCGACTCGGGCAACTGCTCTGTAGCGAGTCAGTTGTGTGTCCTTGCTGTCGCGCTGTATTTGTCAGGTCAAAGGTCGCTGACCTTTGACTTTCGCGTAACCTCCAGCGGTTACTTCAACCTCCGAGGGTTGACTCGCTGGTGCCTCGATATGCTTTGCTTCGCTTGTGTCTTGGTGTTTCGACACGACAGAGGCGCTTAAGACTGATTGTTTCCAACACTCCCCTTCGCTTCTGGAGTGTCGTTGCTGGTGACGTGGCTCTGTCCAGTCAGCAGCATGCAGTACTCGAACTTCTGCTTTCCGAGCTTCTTGGTCAGGTAGTCAGCTGCCATCTCGGACGTGGGGCAGTATGACAGCTCGAGCCTCCCTTTCTCGATCTCGTCCTTCACGAAGAAATATCGCAGGGCGATGTGTTTCGTCCTGTTCGCGAAGCCGTTCTTGTTGGCAATGCGAATTGCCGACTGGTTGTCGCAGAACAGAGTGAAGCTGGGTAACTGAGCCAGCTTCGCTTCTTCCAGCAGTTCGCGAAGGTAAAGTCCTTCCTTAGTGGCTGAGCAGAGTGCAATATATTCTGCTTCAGCTGACGAGAGAGCGATTAATTCCTGCTTGCTCGACTGCCAAGAGATAGGTCCGATAGGTTCGAGGCGGTAGATGTAGCCAGTGCGAGAACGCCTGTTGTCGAAATCGCCAGCGTGATCGGCGTCGACGTAGCCGATTAACTTAGGCGGCGTAGTTGCGTTCTTGTAATAAGTTAGACCAATCGTCGGGGTGCTAATGAGGTAATGAAGAGCGCGGTCGAGTTCTGCTAGATGTTCCGCTTCGGGCCTCTTGAGGTAGGTGGCGAGTTGACTTGCAGAGTACGATAGATCTGGGCGGCAGGTGACAGCTGCGAAGAGAAGGCAGCCCAGCTTTCTCTGGTAGTCGCGTATGCCGGCGGGCTTGAGCAGAGCGGAGCCTTCTTTGTTGTTTCCTGTCGTGTAGCGGTACGGTGTGGAGATAGCAGTTGGTGTGAGTGCGAAGCGCTTGGCGATGGTGTCGGCGTACTTCGCGGCGCTGAGGTAGATGGCGTCTTCCTCTTCCCGGATGTTGAGCCCGAGGTACTGTGTAACGGTAGATGAGACTGTCAGTGTGAGGTCCTGCTGCAGCTCCCCTTCGAACCAGGTGGTGACGCTGTCGGTTGAGCCGATGTAGAGGAGATCGTCTACGTAGACGATTAGCAGGATGTAATCTGCGCCTTTCGTGAGTCGGTACATCCCCTGATCGTGTGGTAATTGCTTGAAGCCGATGCGAATGAGGCGGGCGTGCAGGTACTGCTGCCATAGCCGCGGAGCTTGCTTGATCCCGTAGAGCGACTTTAGCAGCTGACAGACTTGGTTGGGCTCCCCATTGGTACCGTGCGGTAGTTCCACGAAAATTTCTGCGTCAACGGGTGCGTAGAGAAATGCGTTCGCGACATCGATTTGCCGTAGCTTCTTTTTCTTCATGGCGGCGATCGGGAGAAGGATTCGGAGCGAAGTGTGTCGGCTGACCGGAGCGAAAGTTTCGGTGAAGTCTCGCCCGTGTTCTTGGTCGAAGCCGCGCACGACCCAGCGTGCCTTGAATTTGTCAATGGTGCCGTCGGCCTTCGTCTTCACGCGGAAAACCCATTTTCCGGTGAGAATGGTTTTGTTCCGTGCTACGCCGATGGGGACAATTTTCCACGTGTTGCGCTCCTCTAATGCCTTCAGTTCTTTGTCCATGGCTTCGCGCCATTTTTCCCTATGCTCCCCCCCCAGAGCCTGCTGAACTGTGGCAGGCTCCTTAGGAATGGCCGTGCCGTGGACTGCGGTGACGAGCCCGAGTATCTGGAGTCCACTCGGTGTGTAGCGGGGGAGTGACATGTCCGCGGGATAAGCAGCTTCGTCTCCCGCTTCCGGATCAGGTGCGAAGTTGGGTCCTACGCGTTCTGCTTCATTGGTGTTTACTTGTGCAGGTGTAACGTAACCGTTGTCAGCGAAATGGTAGTAGGCTTCGGCGTTGATGCTTTCGCGTGGGTTTTCGTTGTCCATTGGCACGTCAACGGAGCAGTAGGGGAGGGGTCCGGCTTCTTCCGGGGCTCCTTCCACGTTCTGCTCGTCCCAGTCAGCTTCGTCTTCTGCCGAAGCGAAGGCTCGGTCTCCACGGAAGCCACCTGTGGGGTCTCGGTTTTCGTCCAGGTTGGCAAGGTACGTCTGCAGTGTGAGTCGCTCGTAGAAAATGACATCACGTGCTGCCACTGTTTCTTTTGTCTCGACGTCGAAAATCTTCCATGCATTGTAGTGTTTTTCGATGCCCAGGTGTAGTCCCCACTGTGCGCGTTGAGAGAATCGTCCTGCTCGTGCAGATGGAGGTCGAAACTGTACCATGCAGCCGAAGACTCGTAACATTTTTGTGCTGCCCAATTTTCCTGTCCACAGCAGATGCGGTGATGTGTTGTTCGGGAGTGACGACGAGGAAAGCAAGTTGTGCAGCATCACGGCGTGGTCCATTGCTTCGGGCCACTGGTGGTTGGGTAGCCGCATGCCACGTAACAGTTTCCGCATGGTATTCTGCAGGGTCATGTTCATCCTTTCTACTACACCCTGCTGTTGATGGGCGTAGGGAAGGGAAATGAGTCGCTTGATTCCTCTCTCTGCCAGATACTGCTTGAACCTTTGTGAGGTGTATTCTCCTCCCCCGTCTGACTGGAAGCTTTTTAGTTTGACGCCCGATTCCCTTTCTGCTACGGGGAGCCAGGCGACGAACGCTTCGAACGCCATATCCTTGCTTGGAAGATTCAGGTGCCAAACGTAACGTGTCGCGGCGTCGATGAACGTGATGGTGTAATTGTACGCGTTCTGCCCCGGTTCGCGATTGTACAGGATGTCGCTGTACACTTTCTCGAGTGGCGCGTAAGCTGGTGTGCTTGGGTTATGGTGAGACGCGAACGGTTGATGCGGTAAGTCAGCTTCAGGGCAGGTGAAACACGTTCCACGTACTCGTTGAAGTTCTCTTCCATCAGTCAGTTGTGGTGAGTCCTTGTCGAGTACTCCTGCTCTTATCGTATTATTTAATACTGTGTTGCTTGGGTGTCCCATCCTTGCGTGCCAGGTGCTTTCGTCGGCGCGATGGCCGGGTGATCGTCGGTACAGGTCGGAGTTGGAGTAGAAGCTGGCGGTGAAGTTGGCGCTTCGATGAACTTCTCGTGGTGCTGGGTGTAATTGTTGCGCGGGTGTCGGTGGTGTGTCGTCGACGAGGAGCGGTGCCGTTGAAGGGCCAGCGATTGGTGTTGACGTTCCTGCTGCTGCCGTTGACGGTTCTGCTACTGCCGATGTTGTCTCTGCTGCTGCTGATGTTGTCTGAATTGTCGCTAACGCCCTTGTTCTTTCTGCCTCAGGAATGGTGTGTGAATACCAGAAGCCTTCTGGACTGAAGTTTGGATCAAGATCTGGAGGGTGGGTCCAGGAGGTGAAGGTGACGATGCCGTCGCTGTCTGCTGTGCCGAGATCTGGGACAAAATCAAGAACGAAGACGTTGTTTTTTAGGATCGCCTTTCCGATGTAGAGGCCGCCCTTCCCGTGGTACAACTTGAACTCCTGGGTGGTGCTGTCTGCCTCAAGGTGAATGCCCTTCGCCATCAACTAACTGACGCTCAGTAAGTTGTAGCCGAGGCCTTCTGCGATCAAAACCTTAGACATTTGTAGAACGACAATTGTCTCTCGTGATTGAAGTTGTACCACGCCTTGTCGTCGTGTGCGCAGGTTTTGATTATTGGCGACGGTAATGACGACTTCGCGTTGAAGATGGTGTTCGCGTTGAACGAAGCGTCCCGAAGAACACATATGTTGCCCGCAGCAACTGTCCAGGAACCATGTGTCTTTCCCGGATGGTTCACTCTGGGCGATAGCTGCGTATGTTGGATTCGGTTGAAGTGACTCGCGGCGAGGTGTGGTGTTGTCGAGTTGTTCTTCCGGTGAGTAGTGTGGCGGTGACTCGGTGATGCAGGAATCGGTCAATTTTGCCATGCAACTGACGATGTTCCTTGCTCCTTGTGCAGGTTGTCCCGTCGGTGTCGTTTGAGCTTGAGTGGTGGGGTTCGCTTGTATTGAAGTGACTTGGCTGCTTGAAGGTCGAAGCTGTCGCTGTGAAGGCGTTGACTGTTGTCAATTCGGGCAGTGCGTGCGCGGGTGCCCTGACGTCTTGCAGATGTGGCAGAACGGAGGTACGGGTTTCGGTTGTTGTTGTTTGTTGTTGTTGTAGCGTCGCTGAGTATGGAATGCGAATTCCGGTGTTGTTGTCTTCTGCTTGTGTCGTTCTTCTTGCAGGTCCATGTCTTGCTGCTCGGCGTGGATTTCGGCGCAGAGCGCTGCTTCGGAGATTCTTCCGTGGGCTCGGAGAATGGCCTTCGTTGCGCGCCATTGAGGACCGAGGCCGCCAATGATAACTGTCACGAAGGCGTCTTCAGAAATCGACCCTCCGCATCGAAGAAGCTTGTCGCGCAACTCGCGACATCGGTTGATATACGCCATTCCTTTCTCGCCTGCTTTCATTTCGACCGTTGTCAATTGCGCCATTAACCGACTTTGATTTACGCTGTCTGTTGCTTGATACAGGCTCTTCAAGTGGTTGTATGCGAGCTCCGCGGAGTTGCCGTAACCCCGGTAAGACCGTATATTCTGCTGTTGGGACGGGGTGATGTTTCTCAGTAGAATCGTGTACGCCATCATCGACTGATAGGTGTACTGCTGCTTCTCATACTGTGTGCCGTTCATTGGGTATGGCAGGGACCCGTCGAAGAAGCCAAGTATCTGCGCGCCTTCCATCATTAACTCGAATTCAAACGACCAGGTGAAGAAATCCTTTCCATCGAAAGGTCTTGACGTCTGCATCTTTAGAACGTGCGCGAACTGCGACTGAACTTGTAATGCGTCCAGTGGCTTTTCTTGTCCAGGTGAAGGCTGCGGGTGTGGCATAAAACTGATGGACCCGCGCTCGTACGGAGCAAAGGTAGGCTGCTGTTGATTTCCTCGTGCGTATGATGAGCCGTCGAGACTCATGGGAGTTGCTCCGTTGTTGTTGTTGCTGTTGTTCGACTGCGCAGGTGCCGACTGTTGGTGTTGCTCGTAGAAGGACATGAAGGAGAAAAACTTCTCCATCATGCTCTGATCGAATCCTGAAGGTTGATTCGCAGGAGTCTCGGTAGAAGTTGCTCTTGGTCTTGTTGCCGTGCCCTCCTCTGTCTGCAGGCCAGAGGTAGGAGATGGAGTAGGAGTAGTACCCTGTGAGCCGTTAGAGGAGCTCCTTTCCTTTTGTGTAGTCATGCCTATTGATGTTGTAGGTATCTTGATAGTTGAGTTCCCCCTGATAGCTCTCATACCATGTTGGGCTGAGAAAAAGCCCTTAGGATCTTTACAGGGGTGAACTCTGGGTAGGACTTGTTGTAATTAGCGGAAGCTTTAATGAGAAGTGCTTGAACCACCTTGCGCTAGTATGTGAGGGCAAAGTAGATTGATTAAGACAAAGAGATACAAGATTATATAAGAGTACAAGGAATATGAAGGGATACGGTTATAACTGTTTTACTGTTGCTGTTGCGGTTCGATACAGTGGCGACTCGGGCAACTGCTCTGTAGCGAGTCAGTTGTGTGTCCTTGCTGTCGCGCTGTATTTGTCAGGTCAAAGGTCGCTGACCTTTGACTTTTGCGTAACCTCCAGCGGTTACTTCAACCTCCGAGGGTTGACTCGCTGGTGCCTCGATATGCTTTGCTTCGCTTGTGTCTTGGTGTTTCGACACGACAGAGGCGCTTAAGACTGATTGTTTCCAACAGTGAACCACGTGGCATTGACTTTGGTCACTTCTATCTCTACATGGAGAGACGTTGTGGGTATTTATTTTCTCGTACTCTACAATGGAGGCAACATGGTTACTGCACGTGAGCAAGAGGTAAAGACTGGGAGGCTCTACGTTGTTGAGGCGTAGCTTTTGGTATGAAACTACCCATGCAAAGGGGTATGGATTTGGAGCATGAAGTCTTGACTGGAAGGGTAACTTACTCTCAAAGGCCAAAAAGTGATGCAAGTCCTGGGTTTAGGATAGGCAGGTAGAGGAGTTAGCTGTTCTAGAAGTTCTCCCATGTATACATGTGTCTATACATGTGTCTAATTATGGTTACGGAAAATCATTTCTTTATAACGGTACTTCTTTCGTCGCATTGCAAACCAAGCCACGTCACAAACACCCTGACAGAGTGTTGAATACCCCTGGTCCCCTCCCTCACAGCTGGAACTTTGGCAGCGTCGGGCAGTCCAGCTGTGTGGTGGGTTGTTGGGGTGAGATCCGACAGATGTCTGACTTAGCTGCTGAGAATGTCAGTTTCCCGTATTACAGGGAATCCTAACTCGTTATACTTAGGTTAAATGGTTTTCTGTATATGATTTCGACGGCTATCTTCAGGATTCTTACCACCGTGGCTGGAAGCTAAAACCGAAAAGCCAACATCTTGATGCTATGTACTAGGGTGTGAACATATGCATGAAGGCCTAAATGTCCACACGTTGTATTATGGGGGTCCGAGAGAAGGGGGTTTAGTAATTATCGCGGTCGTCCCGTTTCAACCTTGGGGAAAGTGTGTTCCATATGGGTGTGCGGATGCTGAAGGGTGTATGGATATTTGTTGTAAAACTATTGGGGTAGTGGAACTGTTTTGACTCGCGAGTAGTACAAGTGTTCCGGGTTAGAGGCCCTCGCTGAAAGAGTCCCTTTTCCCCATTGAGTAGAGTTTTCCGATATCGCCTAGGGTTGGCCCGACCCCTATAGTCCCTTTTTTGGCGGGAAATTTTGCAGCTTGACCGAATCATTGCACGAATCAACTCCACAGCCAATCAGAGGCTCCAGATCGAACCAGCCCCAACATTCAGGGAAAATGATAAATAAGGGATCATCGATTCGATATTTAACTTTGGAATTGTAAGTAATTGTTTCTCTTGGCCGTGATTACTTCTCATTCCTGTCGCGTTATCTCCAGCTCGCTCGACGATGACATCTCATTTATCTCGCTTACAGGGTAAAAACAGAAATTATTACCTTCTATTCGACCCCCAAACCATAATTGATTTTGTTTTGTTTTGACCGTTAGTCATGTGACATTGATCAGCGCGGGGAACCGTGCGACGAGAAGTTGAAGCAAGCGCGGTCTGAATCTACGTAAAAGACAAAATATAAAAACTAGTAGCAAACAAACCACTCTTCATGCAATTTTCCTGAACGGGACTATAAGTATCGCGTTTTGCCCGGGGTTTGAAGGTTTTCGCACATAGTCCGCGCGCGGCGTCTCAGTCCGTCGGACTATAAACGAGAACATTTGTACTTAGAGATGAAGACATGCAGAACAGTGTTTTGAGGGTTAGTTTTGTTCTCAACAGAGAAACCCCAGGCCAAGATCCGATGGGCAGACCTCGATTGATGTCGTCGACACACTGTGACCTGTCCTGTCCGCTCATTATGTCGGATTCGAAAGTGATTGGTCCGATGAGCAGCACAGCAAGCAGCCTGAGGGTTCATCCCGTGTCACTTGCGAGAACATAGCCTGTCAGTGTCGTGCCGGGAGGGAACACGGCACAGACTTCAGGCAACCAACAATCGATCGTGTCACTTGCTCTTTTGTCTCCTCACCACCTCACCCATTCCCATGTGCTCCTCTTGTCGGCTATTTTATCCACGTCGTCCCTTTCAGACCGTACTTTTCATCTTTCACACTTCATTTTAGTTAGTCCGTCCTTCATAGGAGCCCAGTGTGTACATTTGTCACATCCCTCAGCCCCACTCCATAGTGCACTTCCTGAGTACCCAACCGTCCTTATCTGAACTCTTGATCGCGATGGCTCGTCTGGCGAGTCAGCGGCACGCAGCAGTATCACCTAGAGTGCTACTACTTCTCGCAATCACCGCACGCAGCGCCGCTCTCGCCGCGACAGAGGCCGCCGAAATCCGCACGCAATATGAAATCGCGATGATGGAAACCCTTTCAATGTCCGCCGAGGAGCGCATGCATCTAAACGAAGCGAGACTCGGCCGAGCAATGCTACAACGGAACGACGACGTCGATGACGTCGACGAGAATGACGACGGCGATGCGGAAGATGCGGCCGGGGAGCTGCATTCGCGGCGTCGCGGGCTTAAAGATGGCGGAAAGGGGAAGCAGCTTGGCCTCAACCCGCCGCCTCTTAACTCCGGTCCGAGCATGGCGGACGTCAATGGGACGTTCTTCCGCTACGATTCCGTCGTTCCCAACGCTACCGTCGATTGGCGACTGACGAAATACATTTCGCCAATCCAGCGCCAGTTCCAGGTGCGGTAGTGCAGATGACTTTTTTCTTCTTCTTTTTCTTTCGGCGCTCAAATTCGCGGGGCTTTCTGTTTGAAAAACACTTGATTTCCTCGTTGTTCCCGCTTCATACCCGTTCTACCACTTCATCTTCCCATTTACAGTTTTGGGGCGCGTCAAAGCGCGCGGCGCGTCGTTCCCGCAAAATAGTCTTGCTACCTTTTGAGATACCAGTCTTTTTCTAAACGGCCGTTTACACCGTCTTTCCATCCTCCTGTTTCGTTCCTTCAGTGCGCGAGCTGCTGGGTGATCGCAGCCGTCGATTCCATCTCCATGATGTGGGCGATCACCAACAGGAGCACCCCCTTAGTGCTGTCGCCGCAGCAGGTGTGCGACTGCGCGACGAAGCAGTGCTGCCAGGGCGGCTGGCCTGACTGGGCCTACTCCTACGTGCTCTTCAACGGCGGGCTCCAATCGGTCGACGACTACAGCTATATCGCGCAGGACAACCAGCTCTGCAGCATCAACGTGTCGATCCCTAACGCCGCTCAGGTGAGCGACGCCTTTCTCGTCGTTATCGTCGCATCGCCAGGTTTCCGGTCTACGTCGATTCTCGGACCGGCTTCTCAGATTCTCAATCCTTGTATTCATCGCGAAACTATGCTCTTCCTTGCGCGCAGATTACCGGCTGGGAGCTCGTGCCGCCTTACAATGCCATGGCTTTAATGAAGGCCGTCAGCATGCAGCCAGTGGTCGCCTTCCTTAGCGGCTCGTCAAAGGACTTCCAGGTGATTAGATCCTGTGGCTTTCCTTTGTTGTGCTTTGCATTATTCGTATCTCCTGGTATAGATATGTGTATTTCTATTTAATTTCCCAGTTGCGGTTACTGATATCGAGTTTCTTTATCGATGTTGATTCGCAGATGTACTCCTCGCGTGACATGGTGAAGATCTACGACGGGCTGTGCACGACGGATATCAATCATGCGGTTGTCGTCGTTGGTTACAACTATCTGGGTACCACCAATGGCAGTTACTGGATCATAAAGAATTCGTGGTTCGAAACGTGGGGCGACGACGGTTACATGTATCTCGCCATGTCGCCAGACATTCGCGGGAAATGCGGGCTTCACGCGTAAGCATCCACCAAGTTGAGAGAATGTTTCCATGCTAATCCTCACCGCCTCCCACTAGTTATGTCCAGTTTGCAGCCTAGATAGTTTTTTTATTTCATTCTTTCGATTTGTACTAATGCTTGTCTTTTTCTGTCTCCATGTACCCCTTCCAGAATTCCGGCCATGTACCCGGTGTACTACCCCTTCGGTCCTCAGCCCGTCAAGATCTCCAACGGCCCCGTTAACCGAAAAGACGACGGCGATGACGGAAAGTGGTGGAACAAGGCTTTCACCATCAACTCCGATGCATGCCAGAAGCTCATCAACCCATGCGGACGCGGCACCTGTTACACCAAAAACGGAATCGCGCGGTGCGACTGCAGCGGGTTGACGAACTTTGTCGAAGTCTTGGGAGTGCCGACGTCGAAATGCGTGCCTCGGTTTCCGTGCAACAAGACGAACATCAACCCCTGCGGCGCTGGCTCCTGCAGCAACCCCGGCGATGGCTCCTACGCCTGCTCTTGCCCTGCCGTAAGTTCCCTTCCGTTCTTTCTACTAGATTTCTCAATTGTCGTTTTTAGCATGCCTTCCTCGTCTTCGTCGATTCCTCTTCTTACCATTCCTCTTCCTCTTCCCCTACTTCACCTTCCCTTCCTCTTCCCCTTCCCTTTCTCTTCACCTTCCCCCCTCTCTTCCCCTTCCCTTCCTCTTCACCTTCCCCCCTCTCTTCCCATTCCTCTTTTCCTCACCCCCTTTCTCCCTCAGGGCTACGCCATCGGAGCAGCATCTGATGGCACGCAGACGTGCGTGGGAGTGGCAACCACATCTACCTCTACTATCACATACACCACTGTTCCTGGAGATTCCTGCTCTGTAAGTTCATTCTCTGTGTCGTCACGTCTACCTCTACAATCCCATCTACCTCTACAATCACTTACACCACCGTTTCTGGCGACTCCTGCTCTGTACGTTTCATCCCCTGCTTGCTTACAATGCAAAGTTCGTCTGTTATGTCTTAGCACATTTGCCAGGCCAGTCTCAGCTTCCTTCGTTCCTGTCTGTTTCTGAGCCTGTAAGCTCATTCTTGATGCCCGTTCTCATTCTGAATTTCTCCCTCCTCTCCCCCACTCGCGTTTCTGCAGGTTGTGGCAGCAGCGTTTGGCATCACCACCACCACCCTCTCATTGTTGAACCCCTTCCTCAACTGCTCGCTTCTGTACATCCCTCCTGGTAAGCTGTGCCATTCATAGATGTGCTATTTTTTTCCTCTTTTTTTTCTCTTTCGTTAGGGCTTGCCCTGCTTTCCTCCTCTACACCCCACTCATAATTTGTTCTTGCCTTGCCATTTCTCCACCTCCTCCCCTCCGCCCTGCTCCCCCACCCTCCTCCATCTCATCCATCCAGGATTCGCTATTACCGTCTCCAATACAAGCACATCCTCCTCGCCCATCTGCACCGCAACCTACATCGTCACTCCCACCGACAACTGCACATCTCTCGCCAATACTTTCTTTGCGGGCAGCGTGACGAACCTCCAGAAGGCAAACCCACTCGCGTGCACAACCGGCCGCCCGGTGTACCCATCCCAGGCGATTTGCACGAGTGTAACGACTGCGGGTACCAGCGTGACGGTGCCGCAGTGCGGGCAGACGTACTCCTCCGTAGCCGGCGATACTTGCTCGTCTGTTGCCACCAAGTATCTCATCTCCCTCGCTACCTTCACTGGGTGAGTCTCCTCGTTCACTCGGTGAATCCCTCCCCCCCTCCCTCCTCTCTTCCCTGCATTCCCCCTCTTTGAGACATCCATTTTATTGCAAGAATTGTCTGAATACACTTGGAGCAGCAAGTCTCATTTCTACTCCCTGTCTTGTGATCTTTATCTGTTGCTTCTGATGTACAGGTTGAATCCTGGACTGTCCTGCACCGGCTCTCTTCCCATTGGCTCCTACCTTTGCGTGGCTTCTAAAACTGTTCTGGTGAGTTGGTATCTCGCACTAGTGTTTTGGTCCGTCTGTTCTGTTGCCCACTCTGTTGATCCGTCTCTCTGTCCGTCTCTGTCTGCTGCAAGTCTCTTGTTTCAACACCACCTTTACTCTTTCTCACACCATCTCCCCCATCCACACGCTGTGCTGCAGCCCACTTACCTCCTCCTTCTTCCTCTCCCTCCCTCCCTCCCTCCCTCCCTCCCTCCCTCCCTTCCGCAGACCACGGTGAACTGCACGGCATCGTACACGGTGCTGCAGGGCGACAACTGCCCCAACATCTGGAACGCAGCCAACCTCACAGAACAGACCTTCCTTGCTATCAACCCCGGCATCAGGGTAATTTCAGAATTTTTTCTTACCTATAACCCTAACCCTACGGAGTTGCGACCTTTTCAGGACTAGGCATTCTCTTTGTCAGCTCACACATCATGTTATTACTCGTCATTACCCAGCATTACTCAGCACGACCCACCCTGTACCATCTTATCAATCTCACCTGTCGCGCTCACTCTCTTCGTCCGTCCTCCATCCCATTCTCCCTCCTGCCTCACCCCACCAGTGCCAAGCACCCTACCTGCAAGTGGGTCAGAAGGTCTGCATCAGCTCGCCCGTCCTCGCCACTCTCGTTGCCTCATCCAACACAAGCTACTCTCTCTACAAGGTCAAGGACGGCGACACACTCGCTCTCATCTCCTCCAGTTTCATCAACCGCTGCATCCCTGCCTCCGTCTCTCCTGCCGCCATCGCCGCCGAAAACAACATCCTCGAAACATCTGCTCTTGTTGTGGGGATGAACCTGATCATCCCGTGCGATTCCCGCGTGGGGATTATTGACTGCCAATGCGCGGCGTCGCTCCCGGTCTGCGGAGCTGACTATGTCACGTACCCTTCGTACTGCGATGCGGTTTGTAACTACGCCGTGCCGCTAGCACAGAATGACGTCTGCGGAGGCTGCAACGCTGCTTGCTTCGGCCGAACCGGGCTCGCACCGCTCGCCGGGTATGGTTGCACTTGGTCCGTGTGCCCGTACCCATTCTGGAAGCCGCTGGATACGGATTGCTCGGTTATGCTCGGTGACGCGCCCGGGAAGTGCTGCGATTTTCAGAAGACGACGTGTCAGAACTCGTGTACGGATGTGAAGGTGTCGCTGGGAGGGACGGCGACGGTGCAGACGACGAATTACAACAAGTGCTATGCGCAGTGCATGTGCTGCTCGCGGCTGCCCTGCGGCACTGGATCGTGCGCGGCTCCCAGCTCATGCTGGTCGGAATCCCCCCGCAAGTGTGTTTACGTCAACTTTGCGTACTCGTGGAACTGCACATGGTTCCCTCCGGCTTCACCGCTGCCTTAGCTGGTCTCACGTAAAGAATTTGGGAGTTTTGAAGGTGCAGAAAGGATGCATTTCCTGTCTTGCTGCACATGGATTCTTCAGCCGGTTTCAACCATTTTATTTATTCATTTGCTGCTAGATAGTTTTGCTTGTTTCAATTATGTGAACACCTGTTCAATCTCTTGATGCTTGCAAGTAGATTTCATTACAGAATGAGCTGAATTGTGGCTCAGAAATTTGGGAGATAAGAACAAATCAGGGCACTTTTGGTTGAAAGAAATGGTGCGTTCATACAAGTTGCTTTTACGTGTTGCTTTTTTTTATTTCACGTGTTGCTTCGTTCATTTACTATGGCGAACAATCACCTCCATGACTAGTTCAAACCCTTTGTCAACGTCTATCGTCCATCTCCAAAATCTGTCAGTTTATCGACGGTGAAAAGTCACCGTAAGCGAACCGCATCAAGGAATTTCCACCATTGTTTTTTAGCTTCTCGACCAGCCGCAATTCCCGCTCAAATTCAGGGGTTGTTTCGCGCCACGGCTGTCTGCTTTCCTGGGTTTCTACTCTCCAACTCGACGCAACTGGAAACATGGAGCTCGCCTCATCACATACCGACATCAGCTTTATCTTCCTTCACTTATCCTCCTCATCACAAATCAGCTTTACTAGTTTCGATTGGACTCCCCGGAACCATGTGACTTGCCTGCCACTTGTCGAAATCTCCGTCGCGCGGCTGTCGCCGTCCTCCGCGCTGCAGCCTGTCGCTGTCACAACCAACGCGACGTCCCATTCCTATCTGAGTCCATCAGTCTCCTGTCATACTGTCTCGACCTTTCGTCTCGGTAGCATCACACTCGCCCTCGCTTGTTCCTCCATTGTCGCACTGCACTCGCCGAATGATACTAGCCGAGTTTGTCCAACCACGGTGTTTCTCCAACCGCGGGTGTTCGTCGCAATCGTCGCGTGTGCGAAGAACCCCAACAGTTTCCTCCCCCACTCGCTCGGATATGGCATGGCGTATCCGCAGTCGCTCCGTCACGTCTTTGTCGAGAGTCCTTATTCGAGACTAGTAGAGTCCATGTGTTGGGAGAGTCTTTGTCGCACACTCACGCGTGCCACCGGAACGCGAAAACGACAGATTCGATGCAGCGTCGATGTCAGTCAGTGTCGCCAGACCCAATCAGTGACCTAGTCTCGCGCCGTCGAGCGATGAGTGCGACCAGCCTGTCGCCGCGGGATAGCGCCTGGTAGTAACTGTCACGTCATATCCTTGCGTAGCCACCAGAACACCGCGAGAAGATCTATCCTGCTGGCATACCGTGTTACTAGTCCCGTCATCGCTCCTGCCGACAGACCCAAGAACAGTCGAGACAGCTGGCTTAGAGCAGCCTGGGTAGCTTGGAGAAATTCTATTTTTCAACCTGAGCTAGTCACGTCATGGCTGCCACTACCAAAACCAAGAACAATCGAGACAGCTGGCTTAGCAAACAGCTTAGTAGTTGGTTCTCAGCCTGAGCTAGTCACGTCATCGCCCTCACCTTTCCCGCCCTCCGACCACTCCACATGAGTCTGAGGCGGCTCAACCGAGGCGGCGCGAGACTCACGCGAGAAGTCCGAAGCATGCCAGCGCACACGCGCTTCGGGGTGATAAGCGCGCCTCGGCATGCGCGACCTCCTGGGCACTCCTTCGCAAACGGCTCACTCACTGTCCGCTATTTCACTGCCCTCCCGCAGCAGCAGCAGGAGCAGCAACAGCATCTCTTCCCGTTCTTATTCTATCCATCTACTGCCCCTAAAGGTTGTCTTACCCTCCGCTATCATCCCTCGCTTTCGTGGCTGAAAGGGCAAAGCCCGAGGCTACTTCGTTGGAAACTCATATCCCCGTCCCTGCTTATCGATTCACTTACGATCGTTCAACAGTCAACTTATTCTCCGAACTTTTGCGACTCATCGGGTAGAGAAACTTGCGTCGCACGAGACACCTCGATATAACAGCTGCTGCACCGCGTTCCGTCGGCTAATCTGCTCCAACGGGCCTGCGAATCGCAGCATGGCGGGAAGTGGAACACGTGGCAGCGCTTGGTTGGCTGGACGGCGTGGTGTGGTCGCCTTAGCAGCAGTGCTGGTGGCAGCAGTTCTGTTCGAGGTTACTGATGCTCAAGGTGAGTGCGTAGCTAAGGGAGCTAGGATACTGATCTCTTCGACTTTTGAGGCGCCTCAAAAGCAGTGCTGGTGGCAGCAGCTCTGTCCGAGCTTACTGATGCTCAGGGTGAGAGTCTATCCAAGAGGGTCTATCTAAAAGAGGACTCGGGATGTTTTTGTTACCTTTTCCTTGCTTTGCGACCCTTCTTCGTCCCTTCTCCTTCTGCTTGATGACACGTACTCTTTTATTCCCATCTCGTCCCATTTCCCTCTCTCAGACCCCAACTGGCGGCAGCTCTACCCCCACACCTGCGACGCCTCACCTTCACTCCCCCGCCCCACATCTTTCTGCCACTCATTTTCGCCCCTCTCCGTCACCCCGTCTCCCTTTCCTTCTCATACCTCCCCCCTCTCTCAGACCCCAACTGGCGCCAACTCTACCCCTAGATCCGCGATGCCGCCACCTTCACTCCCCCGCCCACCTCTTTCAACCCCTCTGTCTCCCCATTGCTCTCTGCCTCTCTTCCCCACCACCCCTCCCCTCTCCCCCCAGACCCCAACTGGCGCCAGCTCTACCCCTACATCCGCGATGCCGCCACCTTCACTCCCCCGCCCACCTCCACCCTCTCCGCATCCCCCCTCCCCTCCGCGGCCCCGCCCACGTTCGACTACATAGTGGTGGGAGGCGGTGCAGTGGGGTGCCCTCTGGCCGCCACGCTCTCTAAAGGCTTCTCCGTGCTGCTGCTGGAAAGAGGAGGCGTGCCCTACGACCAGGTATGTTAAAGAAGCACCTCTGATCACCTGTGAATCATCACCTCCTCTCCCCCTGGCTGCAACCCTCTCCTAGGGCTTCTCCGTGCTGCTGCTAAAACGAGAAGGGGTACCGTACGACCAGGTATGCTACCGCAAGCAGTACTGAATGGCTCATCTTACCCCATACGACTGGCAGTTACGCCTTCTCCCCCCCCTGGCTGCAACCCTCTCCTAGGGCTTCTTAACGAGAAGAGCTTCAGCTTCACAAAATCTCAGTGATTAGCTAGTGTAGAAGTTTTACACACTGTAATTTCCTACTTGCTTAAACCTACTCCTATGCAAGTGCAGCTCACTGGAAGAATGTCCCAATATCTGCTCTCACCCCTTCTTCCGATCTGCTTTCCTTCCTCTCAGCCCTCAGCGTACCGTCGAGAGGCTTTCCTCTACGTGCTCAGCACGAGGGCGTCGGTACCCTTCCGATCATGCACCGCTCTCACGTCCAGCTCAGGCTTTCCCTTACGTTCTCAGCACGCGGGCGTCGGTGCCCTTCCGCTCGAACCTCCACTCCATCTCCCTCCTTTCTTCCACCTCCCCCTGCCGCTCCTCCCTCAACTCCAGCCTTCAGCGTACCGCAGAGAGGCTTTCCCCTACGTGCTCAGCACGAGGGCGTCGGTCCCCTTGGCTGTCTCTCTCACTCCCCTTCCCCATGCGGCCTCCCTTCCCCACCCCCCAACTCCAGCCCTCGGTGTACCGAAGGGAGGCTTTCCCCTACGTGCTCAGCACGAGGGCGTCGGTGCCCTTCCGGTCGGAGGATGGAGTGTGGAACCGGAGAGGCATCGTGCTGGGCGGTGGCAGCTCTGTCAACGCTGGCTTCTACAGGTACTGCTGAATCTTCAGTGAATGTTCCATTAATAAGTGACTGTTCTTCAGCTGTGCCATTCCGGTCGGAGGATGGGGTGTGGAATCCACAGGGGATCGTGTTGGGCGTTCGGTGAACACTGGCTTCTACAGGTACTGGAGACTGATAATTCAATTGATTCTTCGTCTGGAAATGGTGAATAGACAGTGTTCGCTCAGCTGCAGGTACTGGATGAATGTTCAGTGAAAGCTCTGCTTCTGGTGTGGGTTCATAGTTTCTGCATCCTACCACTGATGCCATTTTGATTCGTCATTTTCTGGTGGGAGTGAATGTGTGTTTTTGTTTCCTGCTTCCCTGGCCCCCTCTCCTCGTGTGCTTCCCTGGCCCCCTCTCCTTGTTTCAGCAGCCATCACCCCCCTCCCCATGCTTCCTTGTACTGCCCCTCCCGCCCTCTCTCCCCCGTCCTTCCCCTTCCACCCCTCCCCCCCTTCCCGTCCTTTCAGTCGGGCATCAGCGGATTTCGTCCAGGCAGCAGGGTGGGACCCTGTGAGGGTGCGCCAGTCATTCGAGTGGGTGGAGGAGAGAATCGCGTTTGTGCCGCAGCAGCAGCCGGGCGGGTGGCAGCAGGCGTTCAGGGATGGCATGCTGGAGGCGGGATTAGGGCCGTGGAGAGGACAAACACCAGAGCATGTCATTGGGACCAAGGTGAGATGGTGTGACTATAACGAGGATAGAAAGTGTGTTGACTACAAAAAGGGTGGGGGGAAAGAGAGGCAGCAGCAGCCAGGAGGGTGGCAGCAGGCGTTCAGGGATGGCATGTTGGATGCGGGGCTGGGGCCGTGGAGGGGACAAGACACCGGAGCACGTCATTGGCTCCAAGGTGAGGCGTGACTTGTGATTATATCGAGGATGAAAAGTATGTGACTACTGTGGCAGCTGGCGAAAAGCATATCTGGCACATGTGAGAATTTTATCGAAGCAACGGCATGCGCAGGTGAGCAGCGAACCTGCTGGAGGCAGGAGACGCCCATCCCAATTCCCCCGAATCCCTTTTTATTCCCTCTTTACCCCTCCTCACTGCTCCCCACTCCCTACTACCACAGCTCGCCAACAGCATATTCGACAGCAACGGCACGCGCAGGACAGCAGCGGATCTGCTCAAGGCGGGGGACCCATCCCGGCTGACGGTGCTCGTGTATGCCACGGTGCAGCGCATTCTACTGGACGTCTCGACTGGTACGTTGGTGTGTGTTTGGTACTAGCGCCTGGTGTATGGTGCAAGGTGCAAGGTGCAAGGTATCACCTGTGTGCTTGTATATGCCACGGTGCAGCGCATTCTACTGGACGTCTCGACTGGTACGTTGGTGTGTGTTTGGTACTAGCGCCTGGTGTATGGTGCAAGGTGCAAGGTATCACCTGTGTGCTTGTATATGCCACGGTGCAGCGCATTCTGCTGGATGTCTCTAGCGGTACGTGTGTGTGCATGGTGCATGATGTGAGCGCTGGTGACTTGGCTCAGTCACACATGTGTATGTGCTTGTGTTCTGTTGGAGTGAGTGAGTGAGTGAGTGAGTGAGTGACCTGGATGCCACTCGTGCTATGCTCCTGCTTCGATCCCATCCCCTTCCCTACTTCCCCCACCACAGGCACCCCACGAGCAGCAGCAGGGGTGGTGTTTGGAAAGCAGCAGAAAGGTGGAGGGGACACAGCATATATCTTTCGCCTCATCACCTTTTACCGCTTCCCTGACAGGCACGCCAAGGGAAGCAGGTGTGGTGTTTACAGACAGCACCAACTGCCGTCATATCGCCCGGCTGAACCCCTTCCCTGCTCCTCCTCCTCCCAACCCATTTCCCCTTTCCCCCTGCCTCCTCTCCTAATCCCACCACTGCAGGCACCCCGAGGGCAGCAGGAGTGGTGTTCACAGACAGCACCCACCTCCGCCACATCTCAAGGCTGAACCCGGGAGGGGAAGTCCTCGTGGCACCTCCTCCAACTCCTATCCCTCCCCTGTCCTTCCCCCCACAGGCACCCCGAGGGCAGCAGGCGTTGTGTTTACAGACAGCACCAACCGCCGCCACATAGCTCGGCTGAACCCGAGAGGGGAAGTCTTGCTGGCGGTGGGTGCACTGGGGTCAGCACAGCTGCTGCTGCTGAGCGGGCTGGGAGCCAGGGAGAAGCTGGGAGATAAGACACGTGTAAGACACGTTACTCCAGAGCACGTTTTTCACCCCGTCGGCCCTTGCCCTGCCTCCCTTCCTCCCCCCCCCCACAGGCACCCCGAGGGCAGCAGGCGTTGTGTTCACAGACAGCACCAACCGCCGCCACATCGCTAGGCTAAACCCGGGAGGGGAAGTCTTATTAGCAGCGGGGGCGCTGGGGTCCCCGCAGCTGCTGCTGCTGAGCGGGCTGGGCCCACGGGAGAAGCTGGATCCGCTTGGGGTGCCGGTGGTGGCGGAGGTGCCGGGCGTGGGCGTGAACGTGACTGATGTTCCGATCAATGGCATCAACGTGCTGTCTCCCAGGCCTGTTGAGGAGTCGTCTTTGCAGGTAGGGTGAGGAAGGGCCGGCGGATAGGGGATGGTTGAATGCGCAGGGATGGGGTGGGCGTGGGTGACTGATGTGCCTACGCTCTCCCGCCCTCATAAATGCTATCTCCCCCTCCATCTGTGCGTGGCTGTGACACTGGAGGAAACATCATTTGAAGGCGCATCGGGGTCGAACCACACACTCAAGAGCGCTCCTTTGTCCCTTCCCGCACACTGAGCTAGGCGGGAGCAGACGAGCTCAACGCAGCTCTTCTCAATGCTCCTGCATTCTGATTCTCCTTTACGCCTCGTCCTGTCCCCCTCCTCTTCCCCCAGTTCGTGGCGGTAACACCGGAGGGAAAATCATCAAAGGTGCATCGGGGTCAAACCACACGCTCAGCTGGCCGGGAGCAGGCGAGCTCAACGCACCGCCACCTATTCTCCTTCGCTCCCATTATGCTGTATCTGTTCTCCTGCACTCCTACTCTCTTTCCCGTTCCCTCGTTTCATCAGTTCGTGGCGGTAACCCCGGAGGGCAACATCATTGAGGGTGCATCGGAGTCGAACCACAAACTCAGCTGGCCAGGAGCAGGCGAGCTCAACACTATCCCGCGTATTCTCCTCCTCTCCTTTATTCCCGTTCTCCCAGTTCGTGGCAGTGACACCGGAGGGAAACATCATAGAGGGAGCATCGGGGTCGAACCACACTCTGAGCTGGGCGGGAGCAGGCGAGCTCAACACAGCCCCGCCCATGAACCGCACGGGCGAGACAGAGGCGATGATCGAAGCAATGCTGCCTTTCATCCCCGGTGTTATTCAAGATGCTCTCAACCATGCCGGCTTCATTCTGCACAAGGTGAGTGCAGTGTTGCGGGTGTGGTTTGGTGTGCAGTGTGCGGTGCGGTGTGGTTCAGTGCGGTGTGGTCATGCAGCTCAACACAGCTCCTCTCCACCCATCAACTGCACGGGGGAGAGGGAGGCGATGATTGAGGCCATGCTGCCTTTCATCCCCGGGTTTATTCAAGACGCTCTCAATCAAGTCGGCTTCATCCTAGGTAGGGGAGTGATGCGGATGCGGCGTGCAGTGTGGTGCGGTGTGATGCGGTGTGATGTGGTGCAGCGTTGTGTGATTCACGAGGTCAACACTGCCCCCCTCATCAACCCCGGGGTTATCCAAGACGCTGCTTATCCCCAGCGTTATCTGCGACACTCTAAGCCAAGCTGGCTTCGTTCCACAGTGTTTCAATGAGAGGGCTTCGCTCTAAAACCCATGTGAGGGATGCACTGTGGTGTGGCGCGATGCGTTGTGGTGACTGTTGTGTCCGCAGGGTGCGTGCCGGAGATCAACCAAGTCCAAGAGGAAAACGGAAGGAAGCAAAACGACCTTCTCTTCCCCCCCCCCCACCTCTCCCGCTCATCGCCCCTCTCCCCCTCTCGCCTCTCTGTACCCCACTACCCCTCTCTCCCCTCTTGGCCACAGGTCTACCTGCCGGCCTCTCGAGGCTCCCTCACCCTCGCGTCCCTCAATGCCTCAGACAACCCCATCGTGCGATACAACTACTTCTCCCATCCCCAGGTATGCTGCTACAGCTAATTATACAGCGACACTGGTAGTGCTACAGGTTCACACCTCGTATCCCTCACCCTCGCATCTCTCAACGCCTCGGACAACCCCGTCGTGCGATACAACTACTTCTCCCATCCCCAGGTATGCTGCTAGAAGCGAATAAGGTAGAAGGTTATATTGCTTCAAGCTTACAGTGCTGAGCGTTCGCCTCTCACCTCCCGCACCAAGATAGTCGCCTCCACTGCCCAGCTGCGTCGTCTTTGTGCCTCTCTTCCCCAGTTCTCACAGGTTATACCCCAATCCCATCCCTTTCCTCTTTCTCCCTCACTTCTCACAGGTCGTGGCCACGTGTGTGAGGGGCGCTCAGCTGCTCACCAAGATATCCGCCTCTACTGTTCACGATAGTCTGCATGCCTCTTCCCAATCCCATCCTCCCCTTTCGCCGCCCTCCCACAAATGTCGCATCTGCTTACAGGACGTGGCCACGTGTGTGAGGGGAGCGCAGCTACCCACCAAGATCGTCACCTCCAATGCCCAGCTGCATAATCTGTGTGCCTCTTTCCTCCCTGTCCCCCCCCCTCCCACCCCATCGTCCACCTCCTTCCCTCAGGACGTCGCCACGTGTGTGAGGGGAGCGCAGCTGCTCACCAAGATAGTCACCTCCACTGCCATGGCGCCTTTCCGCTACGATACCCCGCCTGTTGCTCTGTTGTAAGGCGACCCTCTCTTAACCACATTGCGCTCCATGCCTCCACCTCCTTATCGCCCCCACTCACCTCCAATGCCATCGCGCCCTCTCTGCCCCCAGTCGCCCTCTCTGCCCCCAGTCGCCCTCTCTGCCCCCACTCCTCTCTCTGGTATTATCCAATTACCACCCAACTCTCCGTTACTATCACATGAATGACTCTGCTCCTCTGTCATCCCTGTATGTCTCTACCCCCTTGCCTTACCCCATACGCTTTCTCTTCTCTCTCTTCCTTCCACAATAGGCCTTTTGATTTTCCACTTCTCTCCCTTGTGATCCCCATTCACCTTCCTGCAGTCTTCTAGACCCTTCTGCTGCACTCGTCACGACTTATGAGTCGACTCAATAGTCTCCATGATATCAACCTCTTTTCTCGCCGTCTCTCCCTTCCGTCCCCCGTGCACGCACCCTCCCTGCAGTCTCCTTGACCCATCTGCCGCACTCGTCACACCAGGAAACTACCGGGGAGCGTCACCTGCTCTCCCAGACGTCTCCAACTTCACAGCATCTGCCCAGTGGTGCAAGGTGGGTCTCTCTCTTGAGCTCTGATCTGCTTCCACGGTTGGTAGTGGTACCGCTTGTGTCGCTTTCGTACATACCTATCATTCCCCGTTGGTTTTTTGTCCCTCTCCCCTCCCCCTCCCCCTCCCTTGCACTCCTTCCCAACAGGACACAGTGAGAGCAGCAGCAGCAGCAGCAGCAGCAGCAGCAGCAGCAGCAGGGGCATGTGTGTGGACAGCAGCGACCGAGTGAACGGCATGCAAGCACTCAGGGTGGTGGGACCCCAGTGTAGACATTTCTCCCCTCCTCATCCTCCTCCCCTTGCCCTTCGTCCTCCCTCCTCCCTGCACGCCCCCCAAAACAGGACACGGTAACGGTCATCTGGCATTTCCACGGGGACTGTCACAGGGGCGTGTGTGTGGACAGCAGCTACCGAGTGAATCCTCGGCAGGTTGATCTATTAGGCGCCTCAAAAGAAGGTTCATTCACATAGAGTCTTCCCCTCTCCTCTCCCTCCCCGCCCCCCCCAACAGGACACGGTGACTGTGATTTGGCATTTCCACGGGGGCTGTCACAGGGGCGTGTGTGTGGACAGCAGCTATCGCGTGAATGGGGTGCAGGCGCTGCGAGTGGTGGATGGGTCGACGTTTCTCACCTCCCCCGGGACTAACCCCATGGCAACGTGCCTCATGCTCGGAAGGTGAGGCCCTGTTTGAGTACCTGGGCTTCTTACAAGGGGTGCATAGGTTGTTGAGTGAACGGGGTGGAGGCGCTGCGAGTGGTGGATGGGTCGACGTTTCTCACCTCCCCCGGCACCAACCCCATGGCCACGTGTCTCATGCTTGGGAGGTGAGACCTGGGTGGAACATGGGAGGGTGCATCGTGCAGAGTGAATGGTTGTTCGGTGCAACTTTAGTCGTGCATGGGGAGTGCACGGCGTGCAGGTGCTGCGTGTGGTGGATAGGTCCACGTTTCTCACCGCCCCGGGCCCCAACCCCATGGCCACGTGCCTCATGCTCGGGAGGTGAGACCATTGCCGCATGTGCTATGCATGGTTATTGTTTGGTGCAACTTTAGTGGTGCATGGGGTATCGAGTGAATGGAGTGCAAGCACTGCGAGTGGTGGACGGGTCCACGTTACTCACCGCCCCGGGCACCAACCCCATGGCCACGTGCCTCATGCTCGGAAGGTGAGACCACCATGCTGTGACATGCAGTGTATGGATGGAAGGAATGGGAATGGATGGGGTGGGATGGTGCATATGGGGTGTGTATGGAAGGCATATGGGGTGCATATGGGGTGTGTATGGAAGGCATATGGGGTGCATGTGGGGTGTGTATGGAAGGCATATGGGGTGCATGTGGGGTGCATGTGGGGTGCATGTGGGGTGCATATGGGGTGCATATGGGGTGCATATGGGGTGCATATGGGGTGCATATGGGGTGCATATGGGGTGCATATGGGGTGCATATGGGGTGCATATGGGGTGCATATGGGGTGCATATGGGGTGCATATGGGGTGCATATGGGGTGCATATGGGGTGCATATGGGGTGCATATGGGGTGCATATGGGGTGCATATGGGGGGTATGGGAGCAGCTTCCAGAGGAGCTTCCAGGAGGAACATTTACATGACTTATGTGGTCTTTGCACAGGAACAGGTGTACTTTTCCTGCCTCCATCCCATGTTTGTCTTCTTCCTGCCTCCATCCCATGTTTGTCTTCTTCCTGCCTCCATCCCATGTTTGTCTTCTTCCTGCCTCCATCCCATGTTTGTCTTCTTCCTGCCTCCATCCCATGTTTGTCTTCTTCCTGCCTCCATCCCATGTTTGTCTTCTTCCTGCCTCCATCCCATGTTTGTCTTCTTCCTGCCTCCATCCCATGTTTGTCTTCTTCCTGCCTCCATCCCATGTTTGTCTTCTTCCTGCCTCCATCCCATGTTTGTCTTCTTCCTGCCTCCATCCCATGTTTGTCTTCTTCCTGCCTCCATCCCATGTTTGTCTTCTTCCTGCCTCCATCCCATGTTTGTCTTCTTCCTGCCTCCATCCCATGTTTGTCTTCTTCCTGCCTCCATCCCATGTTTGTCTTCTTCCTGCCTCCATCCCATGTTTGTCTTCTTCCTGCCTCCATCCCATGTTTGTCTTCTTCCTGCCTCCATCCCATGTTTGTCTTCTTCCTGCCTCCATCCCATGTTTGTCTTCTTCCTGCCTCCATCCCATGTTTGTCTTCTTCCTGCCTCCATCCCATGTTTGTCTTCTTCCTGCCTCCATCCCATGTTTGTCTTCTTCCTGCCTCCATCCCATGTTTGTCTTCTTCCTGCCTCCATCCCATGTTTGTCTTCTTCCTGCCTCCATCCCATGTTTGTCTTCTTCCTGCCTCCATCCCATGTTTGTCTGTCTTCTTCCTGCCTCCATCCCATGTTTGTCTGTCTTCTTCCTGCCTCCATCCCATGTTTGTCTGTCTTCTTCCTGCCTCCATCCCATGTTTGTCTGTCTTCTTCCTGCCTCCATCCCATGTTTGTCTTCTTCCTGCCTCCATCCCATGTTTGTCTGTCTTCTTCCTGCCTCCATCCCATGTTTGTCTGTCTTCTTCCTGCCTCCATCCCATGTTTGTCTGTCTTCTTCCTGCCTCCATCCCATGTTTGTCTTCTTCCTGCCTCCATCCCATGTTTGTCTGTCTTCTTCCTGCCTCCATCCCATGTTTGTCTGTCTTCTTCCTGCCTCCATCCCATGTTTGTCTGTCTTCTTCCTGCCTCCATCCCATGTTTGTCTTCTTCCTGCCTCCATCCCATGTTTGTCTGTCTTCTTCCTGCCTCCATCCCATGTTTGTCTGTCTTCTTCCTGCCTCCATCCCATGTTTGTCTGTCTTCTTCCTGCCTCCATCCCATGTTTGTCTTCTTCCTGCCTCCATCCCATGTTTGTCTGTCTTCTTCCTGCCTCCATCCCATGTTTGTCTGTCTTCTTCCTGCCTCCATCCCATGTTTGTCTGTCTTCTTCCTGCCTCCATCCCATGTTTGTCTTCTTCCTGCCTCCATCCCATGTTTGTCTGTCTTCTTCCTGCCTCCATCCCATGTTTGTCTGTCTTCTTCCTGCCTCCATCCCATGTTTGTCTGTCTTCTTCCTGCCTCCATCCCATGTTTGTCTGTCTTCTTCCTGCCTCCATCCCATGTTTGTCTGTCTTCTTCCTGCCTCCATCCCATGTTTGTCTGTCTTCTTCCTGCCTCCATCCCATGTTTGTCTTCTTCCTGCCTCCATCCCATGTTTGTCTGTCTTCTTCCTGCCTCCATCCCATGTTTGTCTGTCTTCTTCCTGCCTCCATCCCATGTTTGTCTGTCTTCTTCCTGCCTCCATCCCATGTTTGTCTGTCTTCTTCCTGCCTCCATCCCATGTTTGTCTGTCTTCTTCCTGCCTCCATCCCATGTTTGTCTGTCTTCTTCCTGCCTCCATCCCATGTTTGTCTGTCTTCTTCCTGCCTCCATCCCATGTTTGTCTGTCTTCTTCCTGCCTCCATCCCATGTTTGTCTGTCTTCTTCCTGCCTCCATCCCATGTTTGTCTGTCTTCTTCCTGCCTCCATCCCATGTTTGTCTGTCTTCTTCCTGCCTCCATCCCATGTTTGTCTGTCTTCTTCCTGCCTCCATCCCATGTTTGTCTGTCTTCTTCCTGCCTCCATCCCATGTTTGTCTGTCTTCTTCCTGCCTCCATCCCATGTTTGTCTGTCTTCTTCCTGCCTCCATCCCATGTTTGTCTGTCTTCTTCCTGCCTCCATCCCATGTTTGTCTGTCTTCTTCCTGCCTCCATCCCATGTTTGTCTGTCTTCTTCCTGCCTCCATCCCATGTTTGTCTGTCTTCTTCCTGCCTCCATCCCATGTTTGTCTGTCTTCTTCCTGCCTCCATCCCATGTTTGTCTGTCTTCTTCCTGCCTCCATCCCATGTTTGTCTGTCTTCTTCCTGCCTCCATCCCATGTTTGTCTGTCTTCTTCCTGCCTCCATCCCATGTTTGTCTGTCTTCTTCCTGCCTCCATCCCATGTTTGTCTGTCTTCTTCCTGCCTCCATCCCATGTTTGTCTGTCTTCTTCCTGCCTCCATCCCATGTTTGTCTGTCTTCTTCCTGCCTCCATCCCATGTTTGTCTGTCTTCTTCCTGCCTCCATCCCATGTTTGTCTGTCTTCTTCCTGCCTCCATCCCATGTTTGTCTGTCTTCTTCCTGCCTCCATCCCATGTTTGTCTGTCTTCTTCCTGCCTCCATCCCATGTTTGTCTGTCTTCTTCCTGCCTCCATCCCATGTTTGTCTGTCTTCTTCCTGCCTCCATCCCATGTTTGTCTGTCTTCTTCCTGCCTCCATCCCATGTTTGTCTGTCTTCTTCCTGCCTCCATCCCATGTTTGTCTGTCTTCTTCCTGCCTCCATCCCATGTTTGTCTGTCTTCTTCCTGCCTCCATCCCATGTTTGTCTGTCTTCTTCCTGCCTCCATCCCATGTTTGTCTGTCTTCTTCCTGCCTCCATCCCATGTTTGTCTGTCTTCTTCCTGCCTCCATCCCATGTTTGTCTGTCTTCTTCCTGCCTCCATCCCATGTTTGTCTGTCTTCTTCCTGCCTCCATCCCATGTTTGTCTGTCTTCTTCCTGCCTCCATCCCATGTTTGTCTGTCTTCTTCCTGCCTCCATCCCATGTTTGTCTTCTTCCTGCCTCCATCCCATGTTTGTCTTCTTCCTGCCTCCATCCCATGTTTGTCTGTCTTCTTCCTGCCTCCATCCCATGTTTGTCTGTCTTCTTCCTGCCTCCATCCCATGTTTGTCTGTCTTCTTCCTGCCTCCATCCCATGTTTGTCTTCTTCCTGCCTCCATCCCATGTTTGTCTGTCTTCTTCCTGCCTCCATCCCATGTTTGTCTGTCTTCTTCCTGCCTCCATCCCATGTTTGTCTGTCTTCTTCCTGCCTCCATCCCATGTTTGTCTGTCTTCTTCCTGCCTCCATCCCATGTTTGTCTGTCTTCTTCCTGCCTCCATCCCATGTTTGTCTGTCTTCTTCCTGCCTCCATCCCATGTTTGTCTGTCTTCTTCCTGCCTCCATCCCATGTTTGTCTGTCTTCTTCCTGCCTCCATCCCATGTTTGTCTGTCTTCTTCCTGCCTCCATCCCATGTTTGTCTTCTTCCTGCCTCCATCCCATGTTTGTCTTCTTCCTGCCTCCATCCCATGTTTGTCTGTCTTCTTCCTGCCTCCATCCCATGTTTGTCTGTCTTCTTCCTGCCTCCATCCCATGTTTGTCTGTCTTCTTCCTGCCTCCATCCCATGTTTGTCTTCTTCCTGCCTCCATCCCATGTTTGTCTTCTTCCTGCCTCCATCCCATGTTTGTCTGTCTTCTTCCTGCCTCCATCCCATGTTTGTCTGTCTTCTTCCTGCCTCCATCCCATGTTTGTCTGTCTTCTTCCTGCCTCCATCCCATGTTTGTCTTCTTCCTGCCTCCATCCCATGTTTGTCTTCTTCCTGCCTCCATCCCATGTTTGTCTTCTTCCTGCCTCCATCCCATGTTTGTCTTCTTCCTGCCTCCATCCCATGTTTGTCTTCTTCCTGCCTCCATCCCATGTTTGTCTGTCTTCTTCCTGCCTCCATCCCATGTTTGTCTGTCTTCTTCCTGCCTCCATCCCATGTTTGTCTGTCTTCTTCCTGCCTCCATCCCATGTTTGTCTTCTTCCTGCCTCCATC